TGAACAGGATCCTTCCATCCTTTTCTCACTGGGACCTGTTCATATACGTTCTTGGCAGATGATCCAGAAGTGGTTTGCCATTGCCTTCTTCTGTGTGTGAATGGAGTAATTGTTGGGATGCCACGGAGAAACCGGGGAAGCCCCCGGAGGAAAACTCCGTGTTGCCTAGACCACGGCCTTGCCCAACACAAGTTATAAATTCGGGCGTGTAAAACTTTATCTTTCCCTTCTGGACAGAAGACAGTACCAAGGAGAATATTTGGAAAATAACAGGATAACAGGAGGAATGGAAAAACTGCTTAATGAGGAGCCTCATAATTAATGACCATCATAAATCTAGAAAAACATAACAGCACACACATGGGTGATGACAAATGCATAATGAACCTTTTAATTCCATAAAGGGCGGCACATTTCTTAACAAACCGAGTGACTGTCAGCTTCCCAGTATTAGTGTAATATCATCTTCTAACTTATTCCTTGATCACCAAAGGCGTCTCCTCTTTTTCGTTTTTCAACTAAACTTCTGTGTGCAGTTTTAGTTTCCCCCTGGTCATTCTCCTCATGCAGACCACCCTAATAACATTCAACATTCCTTTCAGGCCCAGACACAATTTCACGAAATCGCAAAAGACAGACTACGCTAATTAAAGGCAAGTGCCCTACAATCGACGAAAATAGATTGCAATTTATTTTGTGTTATATTCACTTTGTCAAAAACAACACGCTGAAGAGGGAGATGGATATTGGTATACGTAATCAGACAATAACGACCTTGGCCGATTATAATATAAGATAAATGTTTAATTGATTTTCTTAAAGACATTTCACCAACATTTATGCTATCTATAATTTTAACTGTCATATCGTTGGTATTAAACGATAAAAACTAAAATTTACGTAATATACATCGTTTAAATGCAATACTTTATTTGTCTTTTACTATCAATTGTTCTCAATATAATCATATCAGAAAGACGAATCACACGACTAAAGGTACTGTATATGATATCGAATCCTCTGGTATCAAAATCAAATGTGTCTGCATAACAAACAATAGTCCATTCCAAAGGTGGAAAGGCCCCATTTATCTCCCTGGTTTTATATAAAATTATTCTATATAAGATATACTGAAATAATCACATTAGGTACATATTATGGCAATTTTACGAATACAAAAGTATCTTAAATGCCAAATTTTCTATTATTTATCGCCATGGCGCTGCACAGTGATCGCTTTTTACATTAAGGCTTTGACCGGGATGTTCTTTTGTTAAATCTTATGTGGTACCGCCTGATTCGACTTCTAATGGTTAAGTGAAGTGTTTTCTTCGCGGTACGGTCTGGATTCGTAAATATTATGAAGACGAGCTTCGGCTTCAAAGGGTTAAACAACTGACAAGCAAGAAAATTGCTGCCGGCATTGCGAAAACAGGTCAGGTTCTACAGTGTCACGGAGATGGTTAATAAAAACCTCACCGTCGATGTGTATTATTATTATTTAGTGTTCTGTCTGACGACAGGTCCATTGTTCTGCCCAAAAAGAGCTCTCCAGTTTTCCCTATTCTCAGCTTCTCGTTTTAACTCCTGCAACTTCATCTTCTATCCTTGTTTAAGATCGCCTCGATGTATATGGGAGGATAATATTTAACTGGCTCTTAAAGATTGGACCAAAATGCTTCAAGGTAGGGTCTAGGCTCTTGAGCGCACGGAATTTTTAAAAGGGTGGAAAATGTCTTGAACAACCGAGCAAGTAACGTCCCATAAAAGACTAGGCTCCATGTTTCTCCATTTTTAAAAGCAGTATTGATCTAAGTAGGATTTGAGGTTTTCACGGCGCTGAGTACGAAGATGGCTGTCTGCTGGGTTGAATCGCCCTGACGATTGAGGCAGCAAGGACTTCTGAAACACTGGTGAACTTGTACCAGACTACAAGCGTTACAACTCAAAAGACAGCCATCTTCTTGTAGCATGCATCACATTATCTTTGTCATAAATTTATGTATAAGCCATGAAAGCGGTGAGAATGACTGTCTACTGCTGATTATTTACCACGTGACAAACCTTACCACCGCTCTCAAGCTTTGGTCCCAGAATAGACAGCATTAGCTTATTGATTGGCTTTAATTTCCTGACAAAAATCTTCCGCCATGTCTACAGACAATGTCGATACCCTAGAGATATGGCGTATCAACGAGAAGCTATTACCGCAACATTTTATACGCTGTAAAATATACAGATTTATTGATCTGCATAAGTGCGTTATAAGTACATTGTCAACATAATAATATATCAGAGATTGCAAGAATATTGTGATAAGTTCTGGACGCTGATTCCTTTGTTTTAAAAAGTTTTATTAGACATAGGCTAGTTATTTAATCCATTCATGCTCTCCTGGGAGTTCGCTATTTGCAGATAAGCTAGGCAATCAGATATCGTTATTCCCCATGTTACTATAGATCAGCTTACCGCTGGTGGTACGCGAACTAATTACGAAAATCAAAAATAAGTTTTCCCTGAACGCATTTGGTTAGTGGTACATTTAGTGTGTTAAATTAGAATTAGTGGTACCCCTGCTACAGATATTCAAAGCAATTGAAAACTCTAAATTAAGACTCTAGAACAAAATTATTATAGGGTATAAAGGCAGCTAATGCATTCTATTAAAATGTGGAAAATTACTAAATTCGGGGAATGCTTGCTACCATAGCGTCCAGTCTTCCGTCTGCTATCTTAAAACGTAAAGATTAAAATATACAAATATATAATTTCGTGTATATTTTTGTACGGGTGTGAAACCTGGTCTCTCAACGTTAGGGGAAGAACACAGAACGAATGTACTTGAAAACAGGGTGCCAAGGAGAATATCTGGACCTAAGAGGGATAAGGTGACAGGAAGTTGGCGGAAATTGCATAACGAGCTTTATAATTTTTACTCTCCACCAAATATTAACATTTTAAGATAATCAAGTCAGGGATTGACGGGGTATGTGGCGCGCGTGGGGTAATGATAAATACGTACGAAATGCTGGTTTGTAAAGCCTGAAGAGAAGAGACAACTTGAAAGACCTAGGCGTAGATCAGGGAACAATATTAAAATGGATATTAGAAAAACAGGTTTGTAGGATGTGAATTGAATTCATCTGGCTGATGATGAAAACCGGCGGCCGACTCTTCTGAGAACGGTAATTAAACTTTGAGTTCCACAAAAAAATACTAATTTATTGAATATCTAAGTTTACTATCAACTTATAAAAATGGACTTTGTTGTTGATTACAATTTTGCTTCTTTACAATTCTTGTACTCTGGAAGGATATATAGGTAGATAAAGACTAAACTTATAGCTTCAACTGGATTTAAAAGAAATTAGAAGTCTTCAGTTTTATCAAAACTTACTAAATCCAGTATATAGGAATTAAGCAGGTAGTTTGTAGAGTCAAGCATGTAATATTATAGCTGTTATAGCTTCAACTTTATTCTCGTTAGCTCGTCTTTGTTTACGTATTATCCAGAAAAATAACGCAACCAGGAGTTTAATTTTTTATCGTCAACAACATAAATGTGACGGGTTTTAATTTAGGTAAGAGCATGGCTCTCAGACAGGCACAAATAGTCATAATTAAAACATCAACATAGCATTCGGACGTAAGTTTCTTAATTACGTTGTCAAGCCGGAAGCCACACTGTAGTCATTAGTATATCTGCTTTATATCTCGAAGGCCACTCGGTTCGAATCTTTCTCTTAAGACCGCCTGTTCTTACTATAACCTCTTTTCGTTTACCTCTGTCCCACAACTTAATTAATACTAGCCCACGACCGTCTCGCACTTACCAGTTCGCTATGCATATCAGTATGTAATTTATACAATTTGTAGTTGAAAATAACATAAATAAATAAATAAATCTGTAAACAACTTAGCGCTATAAGAAAACTGGCGGGAAACGTTCGAAACTACCGTGGAAGGGAAATGGTGAGAATGGCAGTCTACAAGAATCGCCCTTAAATGCAGGGCTGTTGGCCCTGTGTCTGTTTAATAAATAAATATCAATCACATTCTGAGCAGATAGCGACAAAATGTTCTCCTGTTGGACAGCAGACAGTTTTATTTCCGAAAGTGCATTTAACGAGGTGTACGAGTGATTAATAGGACAAGCGGTCAGGCCGTTATTAGTTGTGACATATGCACTCGTTTCCGCCTTAAAGCATCGAATAAACTCTCCGTGGGCGAAGTACGAAGAGGAACTCGGAGGGAAATGCATTTACGGGGCAAAATTGTGAAGAGTATTCATGACAGAATTTAACTAGAACAAACATACAGCTTCATATGGCTGAAAGAGCAAGTGCTGATAAAAGGTTATCTCAGAATGCCAGTTCTTGTGTTAAAACACAACATAACTACACAAAAAATAATTCCGTTGTACTTAAAAACCGATACTCATTCCAACAAATAATTTGTGCTTGTCTGTATTCGTGGGGAGGAAGGTGTATGGTAGGGGCGATCTAACTACGACATACAAGACGGAAGTTGTCAGCAAGAAAGCGGTCCGGACCGAAGAAAATTGATCTGAACTATTTCGTATATAATCTAGGGAACGTATTACAATAGCAAATGTACAAATAGTTCTAGATGTTGACGAAAATATAAATATGAAATAGTTCAGTAGGACCCACACTAAATTCTGGTTAATATGTGCACTTCTAACATCTTGAGGACAACAGAGTTCAACCCTTTAACGCGCAATAATAGATCATAACATGACAAGGTATCACTGACATAGATCAACAGTCCAGAAACCAAGTTCAAGTTTATTTTGGCGGTCAAATGCATTTAATTCAAAAAATATAAAAGTTACCTCGTCAGGTGTCATATGCAAAGAAATATGGACAGCAGTGTTTACAATTTCTGCACATTTTTCTAACAAACGTCTCCGGCAAGTTGTCACCCCTGTACCAACTCTGATTCAGTTGGTTACATGTCATCGTAAAAAGTACACTTACTGTTGGCGGCAGGGTCCCGCGTAGCATGGACCTGTTCCTTGATGGGCTCCATGCTGTGTTCTGCCTGGACAGCTACAGAACGCACACTGTTGCTTGCAAGTGGTCTTCCCCACAGACGGAGTGTCTTCACTTATCGCGTACAGTCTCGCGATAAAAAAAAAACTAGTCCAGTTTTGAGAGGACCGACTGAATGAATGACGCTAGACCGACAGAACCGGTTCAAAAATATCCCGACTGGTAAGCAGATTTTTCTGTGCTCGGGACTCTGATCAGAATATTGATTAAATTACCAACCATGAACATTATAAAATCAAATCGCATATCTCGCCTTACTAATGCCCATCCCAAATTTGAAAAACTGGCCGATGAAATGCAGTGCCAAACATCACACTAACTTCCCACTTGAGTAATTATAATTGTACTTATAAAACTACGTATTGTTGATTGCGTGGTTTATTGTATCATTAAACGTCGTGTTGTTTTGTGCATTATTTGGTGTCCATATCTTCCATATCTTATTTGTCCAGAGAAAAGAAAATTTGGCTTTGTTAATTGGCTGGTGCCCACCACGATCTCATAACTCTCAAATGTGCCCGTGGGCACAAAAAGGTTGGGGACCACTGCATTACACTGTAACTCCATACTCACATGGCTGACTGCCCAAGACTTCAGTTCATCCTCTGTATCCAGTAAGAGCATTCAAAAGCCCAACTACTTTCACTCATTTCAGTATACTCTAAAATGTGTTAAAATTTTTAAATACAAAGACAAATAACATTTTAAAAACTGAAATAGAAGTGTACTTAATTTTCCTTCATTCTTAGTGACCATGCAAACACTACTCCTACAGACACACTTAATTCCCTTTTGATACTTGTATCTCACTTTATAGAGACCTTTTGTCATAGTATATGAAAATAAAAAGGACAATATAAAATCAGAGCGTGGCAGAATGAATCAGGAAGCCGTATTTCCAATACTGCCAACAAACCACCACCCACCTAGCAAGCAATATTAAAATGTCACACTTGAACTTTATTCTTTGTCATTTCATTTTCACATAATCAATCAATACATCCAACGTTGTACACATATGACAAATCGGGTTGGGCAAACAAATGTTAGATCGATACAAAAGATTTTTTCACAATGGCAAAGCATTCTCTGCTGGTCACCGGTGCAATTATTGTCAGTTGATAGCACAATTAAAAAAGATAGAAACTCCAAGAGAAATTCTCAGTTCACACACTCACTGTTCTGATGGTCTGAAACTGTATGCTAGATAATGTTTACCACACAAAAATATGCACATTCACTCAAGTGTCCAGATCCCTGTGTCACGTCAATGCACAATATTACACTTAACGAAAGGGTTCGGCTAATTTGTAGCATAGGAAGGTCAGTGTTAACATAAAATAACACAAATTCATAGATGCAGTTTTGTTTAAAAACGTCAGGAAAGAAGCATTAGTTTGATCACACTGCCGTGATTTTGTGAGGCGCACAGTCAAGAATGTCGTATGTAAGTGGGCAAAGAGTTAATATGAAACGTTCTACTTCTTGTCTTGGTTTTGCAAAAATACCCTTCTGTACACACTATTTAGAATACTCTAAATGCAACAGTGGAAAATTGTATTTATGCCAAAAGTTGCATATTACATTATAAAATCAATATGATATTTGTCTATAATGAAGACATTACACAGATTTTGGCAATGGAAAGGGTGAAGCATTACAAGATTTACAAATTCTTTTCAGGTGCACTAATATTCTTTCTAAATTTGAAATCGATTATAATTACTCATTAACCAACCTGACAGATTTATACAGAACAATATAAGACATGGCAAGACAAACTGAATAACAATTTTATAAAATTAAATGCATAAAAAAGAAACTTCTGCCTTCATTTTCATGAAAATTGGCAACCCAATATGTAAGGAAAGGAACAATTATGCTAACATCTCTCTACTTTTTGCTGAGAAAGAAATAATTTACTGAAGTTTCTGAGAGGCTCATTTTCTTGTAAGTTGAGAAAAAAACCCACATAGGTGTAATTGCTTCTATTGATTCTGTTTCACGTCATCTAAAATTCTTCATCCTCCTATTTGCAAATCGACCCAACACAGCATTCGATACAAGACTTGAAAAACTACAGTGATGTGTAGCTCGGTGACTTTAAATATATCACGTTATTTATGTTCAGCAGAAATAATTCACATGACAGATACTAGAAGAACTTCTTTCCTGTCATCGTATAAAATTAACAAAATCTTGTACAAGTATTCTGAAAGTACCATTTTCACATAGAAAAGTCTACACAACGAAACAAAGAAGTGCGTGTAGTTCTAGTTCCTGGCCCCTCCTGTGTTACAACATTCAGGTTTTGTACTGTTGAATGGCCTGAGTTGAACACTCTACTCATTACAGACACACACATACACACATATGCACGAATCTATCAACCAGCTGTCTGATCTAAGATAAAAGGGAGGCAAAAACAATGCATCAACATAAGACGGTAAAAATAATTTCTGTGCATCTGCGAACGTTATATTCTGACAAGTATCTTCTACGGAAATAAAAGAAAAAATTATTTCTCATCATCAAATTACTAGGATTACTGGAAATATGTGGAAGAGAGTTAAATATTTTTTCTATGTAAGCATAATCATATATGTCAGTTACTTCCCCCTACCACTTTCAAAATATTTATAATATTTCAGGGGGCATGCACACAATATGGGACATCAGAGGGTTGCTGAAAACAATACAGATATTTCAACAATCACACATGAGTGTCCACAGAAGTAATTACAGAAATGATTCTAGTGGTTGTCTTGTCCTATCCAGGAACAGTGACCAAATTCTGAAGGTCTAATGGTACATGAAATGCAGAAGTTATTGTGTATGATAAAATTTCAGTTGTTGTAAATTATAATAATCATACAAATCTTAACTTGCTCTCAGTGGGATAATTCTACGATTTTATGGGTATAAAATAAATGAGTAAAGACAATTAGTGGGAAAGCGTATCCACCATAACCTCTTCCAGAAATATGTTTCAAGCCGTCGCACATTTCAATTACTGATCATTGCAATTCAAGGTGTAGTTTCTACTGTTTGTGGTCCAATATGACAGCAATTTTTGTGCTTAAATATTGCATTATAACAAAATGTATTCAACAGCTAGTATAACTGGAATTACATATGAAACCAACATAAATTATGTTATTTGAATGGCAAACAGTATCAAAACAGTGGGTTAATGCTTAGATCATAAATCTAAACATATTAAGATTATGAACAAAATACAGACATGTTGGTAAAGGATTCTTGGATTATAAACTGAGAAATTAATACCAGTAATTATTATTTTGCTGTCTAATAGAACAGGCATGTGGAGCATCTTTCCTACTCAGGACATCCAGAAAAGTTCAATCTATGAACCATCACCACCACAATGAGTGAAAATCACACAAAATATAAAAATCTAAAATGGGAAATGTATGAGTTATATCACTACAACAGCTTTGAACATCTAAACAGCATTATCCAATATCAAGCTATTTCCCTTGTGAATATAATGCTCTGATAGCACAAATCATATTGTTGACAGAAGAAAAGCATATTGAAAAGACACATAACATGGTTACCAAAGTGAAATAAAACAAAGAAAGTATCTTGCCTACTTACATAACACCACCACTGTGGGCAACCAATGGTAGAAAAAATAAATCGATGCATTTCAGATCATCTGAAACTACTAATATCCATTATTAACTCACAAAACTGTAAAAACAGCAAAATGATATATGCCACCTTCTTCAAATTTGGGGACCTAAAATTACATTCCTATGTTTCAACATTTAATTAATCTAAAGTTAATAAAGAACAATTCATATCACCAAACAAGCTTAATTGCACCCCAGATGCAACACAGCTGGATTTGCTAATCATTTGTTCCTGTAGTTAGGCCACAGAAAGACAAAAAAATTTCAAGTAGGCCATTACCCCTCTGATGACATTATCATCACCGAAATACCTAATTACAGAGAGGAGTTCACTGTTATGCAGTGTACTGGCCCCCACTGTCATTCAAGAACGAAAATTGTGCCTGATGTTTATTGTAACAAATTAGCTTTATTATGAGAAAAAGTCAACCCAATAATAAATATTATATATTCATAATTACTTATAATTATGAATATTAAAACTGATATATCACAAACTATTGTCATTTAACGTATTTTAACCTGACTTTCATTGTAAATTTCGTACAGGAAGGCAATAAGGTTTTGTTGCAGTTTCAAGGTCTTCACACAGCATGCAAAAATCCAATACCCATAGTGCAGAAAAGTCAAATACTGAACATTCCTATCTATGTAAAGAGTCTGAAATAACAGCGTTGTGTTATAAAAATGTAAAAGCTGAATTCTTTAAAATACCGTTCATCAATCTGATTTCTGATTTCAGTTATCATATCCATAACTACTATTTCAAAGTTTTACAAATGCATCTAATTTTGTCACAAAAGGAATAATTTGAAACACAAAACCTTTCTAATCATAATAAAAAAGCTGATTTTTGTTCTACTGCCATCAAAATAAATCTTGTTTTGCACAGTAAAATAAATTAATTATGATAGTTGTTCCTAAATTTGACATATTATGCAAGTGAAATAATGTGAGTACAGTGTAATTTATGCAGAATTTGGTACTACCTGTACAGCAAATGGATGACAATATAATATCGGAAGTATCATTGAATCATAAATCAGGAAGATGATGACATTTGGGAAAACCACGAAATTTTTTTCCAACTAGTAAAACTGGAACAAGCAATACTGCCTACTCCATAAATGCAGATATTTTTTACTGCTAAAAAGAATTGGAAAGGCTTTAATCCAATTCTAATATTAAACTAAAGTGTACTAAGAATTTTCAATAACTGAGCAGCACACTGTGTGGATAATCAATTTTTTATTTCTTGACTGAGAGTTAAACCTACAATCACAGCATAAAACAATTTATGTGAAAGAGGAGATATTCCAAACAAGAGCTCAAACATTTTTTACTTTAATACCAGAACTAATTATTACAGGCAGAGCTAAATTAAACCTGTAAAATGAATGCATGTTTATAACCTGCAGACTGGATATCTGAATTAAAAGCTGTAGCTGCTCTTTCAAATTTCCTACCAGTATTACACAGTGTCCCATAGGTCACTCCATAAAATTCAATGGACACATGGGGATCTAACTGTGTGTATACTGTGAGTGTATTCGGCTTGTTTTATACCAGCACACTGCATCCCACATGGAACTCTAGAGTAATGAGGCATGGCTCTACCAATCACGCATATATATATGCATATATATATATACACACACACACATACATACATACATACATACACATGCATACCATACGCATACATTGCAACATCAACAGACAACAAGAACAAAGAAAACACAATTATCCTCACGTTTGTGTTGTCTTTTAAACTGTTTGTTCCCATCTGAATTCCATCTACAGTTAAAACAGTGGTGCATGAATGCATTAAGTCTCAAGTGGCTGATACACTGGTAAGTTCATTTACTCAAATGTCTACAACCACACTTTAAAATGTCCTGCTTAATTTAACAGGCAAGGAACCACAGCAGACAGGTTGAAATTATGTATTCGTATACAGTATAAACAACTTGTGTTAAGAATTTGTATAAGAGAGCAACAGTGCTGCCAACACTTGCATTACACATCTTCTACATAAAATCTAACATATGTGCCATGTTCCGGAAAAAGGAATTCTGGGCATGGCTCAAGGAGAGGCACATACTATGTGCAATGGTCACAAAGTTCAATGCAGTGAGCATAGGACTCGGCCTCGCCAGACATCCATGTGTCAGATGGTAAAATGATACCCAACTGATAGAACAGTTACTAGAATCACACTGAAAATGAGTTTCACAGCACAAATTCACCTGTAATGCAGGTGCATGATTTTTTAAAGCATGAGATGAGAGATGTGCTAGGCCTCACTTGCCAATACTCCAAGTTTGTTATTAACAAAGGCAGCACAGTGATCTAACATATGACTAACCTTGTACCCATAATAAACACATGCACTCATACATGACATACATACACACACTGTCACTGCCTCCGTCACACAAAATGGACAGCACCTCTTCTTTGAATGGTCAATGGCTAATGGCAAAACCCTCGTTTCTTCCAACTACCAGCTCCCTGCACCTCACAGCTCTGTTATTTGATACAGGTTGCATTCAACTTCCTGGCAGAGAGTTCCATGGCCTTCCTTCATGACTGTAGCCATTTGGCAATGGTCAGTGACTACAAAGGGGGCATATCTAGGCTCCCAGCCAGTGCAGGAAGTCTCTGTATCACTCCTAGCTACAAGCGGTTGTTCACAACTTGGTGATGTGGCAGGGGGCATTATCATTGTGCCAGTAAGCAGACTCCTCTCAGTAGAAGTCAGAGGACTCGAGGGTCTTGCACTGTTTGCTCAGAGTCGCGTACTGCCCATGGTTGGGTCCAAGCATTGCAGAGGCTCCAGAGGACCCGTAGTGCTCAGACCCTCCCCCGCTGTGCAGTCCCGACTCATGATGGGAACTGTGCTGGGACTTTTCCTCGCGGGAACTCCGGCCATCTCTGTAACACCAATCAGTCCACAACCCCACCAATAATAAGTCAACTCAACTACAAAGCCAATAAGACATGGCGTAAAGGTTACAATGTTACTGAAATGTAATGTTTCATTCTTTGAGGAGGTAATGAAGAAGACTGGGCAAAGTTCAGCAGAATGGCATCTTATACATATTAAAAAAACTGTATGTAGACATTCTGCTCTGAACTTCAAATTACCTCAGCAAGATGTTAAAGAAACTCCTGCAAATATATATACTAGTTAGATGTTCTGATTTTCTTACTGAATTTTGATATATAGCATGCCTTTAATGTATATGCAAAGTTTTCAAATGAACATGTTGAAGTGCCTGAAATTACATGAAGTGAGTAATGATTTATCTCATAATCTCATTTCGGAAACTCTGGTTTAATTATGACAAATCTTTGTAGATCTTGACATTTACTTTATTTATGAAATCTATAATAAACAATATAGTATTTAAAGCATAATAAGTGGCACTAACGATTTAATTCTTTTAATAACTGTCTATCATGGTGCCGTGGTAAAGAATTGACTCATAGCACCTCAATCTGATACATTATTACAGAATCTTCATAGACAATTTCAGGAAGAATTTTATCTCTGATAATTAGGATAAAAAAATATCCATTGATAGAATATATTGCTTTAATGCTTTGTTGCAAGTTGTGGAACATTTAGTATTGCCATCATATGTGGGAAGATAAACAGGAAGTCACTGATCAGTTTTTATTTGCACTATAAAAGCACAACAAAAATTCATGTTATATTATGATCCCAACTTTCAAATATGATATGGTTGTCGCAGTTATGAGACAACAAACTGGTCAAATATAAAGATTTAATTACAATTACCTCACTCTGACACCTCCTGGTGATACATATCTTGTGAAAGATAATTTCAAGACCTAAATAATACTGACTTTTCAATGAAAATAGGGGCTGGGTAGTAGCATTGTCACTAATGCACTTTAAACACAAATATACACATTTCCATTAATTTTAAAACCTCTAAAATACCACGAATAGGACCGTACACTGTGACTTGTGTGTCACCACTCCCATTTCATATTTGGAAGGTCCAGAATTCAGTTCTCAGCCCAGAGACTGGCTACCCTGATTACAGTAATTTTTTGTGGTTTTCCATGCAAATAAACTTTCACCTTCCAAATTAATAATCACCCACCTATTTAACATAATGCAAATTAAGCAACTAACAAAGCATCATTAAATAAATTAAGAATGAAGCTATGAATGGGTTCTAACATATTGCATTTCAAGAAATCAGGCAACACAACAAATTCAGTAGCTCTTTCCTTCACATTATAAAAACTCTGCATATGCATTAAATCAGAGATGATACAATTTCTTCAAAACTTATTTTGAAAATATATTATATACAAACACACACATAACACTCAACCAAAACTAAACAATGGTCTAGGACCAATCATAACCACTGCTGGGAATTTAGTATTTACATAGAGCTCTAAAACAGTCAGAGGCACACTGTTATCACCTGAACCATCTTCTATTATTTCAGATCAGTACTACAGAAAATTTATTAACCAGTTCCTGTACTGGTAAAGTCACTGACATAAATATAAAAACCAGGCTGTAGTGTCATAGCAAGTGACTGACAGAATTGGTATTCATTAGATAACAAGTGATTTTACTGCAGTGCCATCTTTAATTATAGCACAATAAGGTCACCAATTACTAAATGTTTAATAAAACCAAAACTAACACAAATTAAAGTTAAGAATGGATTCTAATATACTGGTAATAATCCTAAAATGCTGGAATGAAAACAAGTTATGAGTTTGTAAATGAGTAATTAGAAAACAAGACATATTATGAGATCATATAAACATTATAAAAATTCTTAAGGTCACTTAGGGTAATCTTCTCCTTTACATTAATATTCTGAGAAGACACACATGGATTAAAGTCAATTTCACAACTTAAAATTCAAACATCTTGCAATAGTTATGGAGCTCAACACACCCTGACTCTTGAAAATGAGCTAATCTAGACATAGACATCGTTTTCTTTGACAGGGATTCACTTTTGCACTTTTGGTTTAAAAAGCATGTCTTCTGTTAACAAATACTAAAACATTCTTAAACCACCAAACACCATATTTTCTTCATACAATTAGTTATTGACTTCAAGAAGTTAAATTTTGGACCAATCATAAGAATTTTTAGAATCCTTAATTAATTAAACCATGACAGTTACAAGGCTAAGTTTCCTTTACATATTACACATGGCAACCTGTACAAGGAACAGTGTGGAAGTATACATCACAGTCTGAATGAACAATCTGGTGTCTGTATCACCTAGTTAACACAATTTAAAAATCTACAAGACTTTTGTGACAGAAAATATTCTTTGGCTCTCTTGAAACCTGTGATCACTGTGCACCAACACTAAATACAACTGCAAGATCCATACAAGTCAATGAATCTTAAAGTCACATCTCAAATATTAGTACACTGTCATTACCATACAAAATAAAATCTACCCCCCCCCCCCCCCCCCCCAATCTCCAAAATAACAATCATTCAAACAGTAGACTTCCAGAGGACAGTATGAAAAATTCTCATCTCATAATCTTCTTCATATAAATTTAGAATAAATAATGTATTTAACATCATTGTCATGTGACAAAATCTAACAATATGAGGCTAAACAAGAGACAAGAGGCAATTTTATTATAAGGTTTCTGGATTACATCAGAATAAAATGTTTCCAGTTAAGCCTACCTTCCTGCATAACTGATGCTTATTTAAGATTCAAATTCATCAGTGCTCCTTAACCTCAACATAATACTGTTAACAGTTGTCCAACACTTTATCATCCCCCTCCACCTATTCATAAACCTCCACTGTCTCACATAGTTATCACCACAATCAAATCATATGACAGATCACAGCTCTTCTTTGGTGTATTATACCAAAGATATGTCTCAATATTATCACTACTCAGAAGACAATAATGGAAGGTTCATAGTATTTATATCCATCACCCTTTTTTACTGGTGCCAACATAATAAATTAAAACTGCCTTAACTTTTTGACTTTTCCCCTTTCATTGTGTGGTATGATAAAACAACAAAAGTACTTGTGAATCTGTGAAGACAGAAGGAAGTGGCCATGCCTTTTTAACCTTTAACAGCCAGGAGCACCAACTTCACCTGTAGACTGCTGGGCCTGTCCTGGAACACTATTAAAACTTTTATACTGCTTATGAAAGAAAGAACTGCCTTTAATATTTCCATCAGATACCAAGGGGCCTTATATCTCATTGCTGATAATGCCTTTAAATGTAAAAACAGAAATGTTGATTTAAAAACTGTAACAACTCATGTAAACAATCAAGATTAAATACCATCTTAATAACAACTCAGTATCATTTGAATTTGTCTCAGATGTTATATTTTGGTGAAAGCATGCAACTGATGATCCACCTTACTCTGTGACTAGAAAACTATACAATAAAAATGAACAAGAAAATAAGGACAGGAGGATTTTTTAAAATGATGTAGCCTGCTTCACACTGTTCCTTGTACTCCTCCAACATGAAATAGATAATATGAGAATGGATGGGTAGAGGAGGGAGGGCTGGCAGGACTGAGAGGGGGGAGGGAATAAACAGAACATGCCGCAACTAAATGAACTCGTGCAATGTATCATAATACCAATCATGCTGAACAGTTTTCCTTATCTTCTTCCTTTGGTGCAATGCACAAACCTGTTTATGTTACAAAGTACATGATGCAAGAGATCACCAACTGAAATGTGTATTGCTGAATTATTAACATAAAAAAATACTGGTAAGTATAAAACAGGGTTATTCAGACAGGACATTCTAACATAATGAGGGAATAAACAAATAAATGGAGAAATGATAAACCAGGACTTCTTTCTCTAATGTTTACTTGACCATAATTAGTCTTCAAACCTCAAATGACTTAAGTGATAACTTTTAAGCCTGCATAGACAGGTGATCTGTACCTATATATAAAAAATAAAATTGTTAATTAACCTTTTTTCTCCTCCTAATGCAACAGAACATATTAAACTTAAAAGAGCCTTGCAACTATAACATAGTGCCATGTAGTGAAATCACATTTCAAATTTAAAACCCCACAAGAAGGGGAGGGGAAGGGGTGGAATATCAGAACAGTTCCCAAACAATCTGATCAGAAGAAAC